AGCTGGCTCCGGATGTGAAACCAGATGCAGCTCCAGATGTGGATCCAGTTGCACCTTTAGATGTGGATCCAGGTGTAACTCAAGATGTGGAACCAGATGTGGATCTAGATGTAGCTCCAGATGTGGCTCCACCAGCGGATCCCTCAGGCCCCTCTAAAGGGCCAGAAGGTGGACTCACTCTGGGCTTTTTCCCGCTTTAGGTGTCAGAATGTGTGGTCAGCAGTCTGGGCCTGTGGAGGTTTTCGGCTTTTACAGTCTGTCGAACTGTCAAAGGGTCAATCCATCTTTTCCAGGCCTCTGGCGTCAGCTCACGAGTAGATTTCTGCGTTTTCATACCCAAACGGAGCCGCAGCGATGGGAAGAAAAGAAAGAAAGAGAGGCTGAGGAACTTTGTGAGGAGAAAGGAGACTTCCTCCACCGTCGCCATGTTTGTAGTCCTGTGACAGAGAGCTCTGCTCTGCCCCCTGGTGGAGGAGCTCTGCTCTGCCCCCTGGTGGAGGAGCTCTGCTCTGCCCCCTGGTGGAGGAGCTCTGCTCTGCCCCCTGGTGGAGGAGCTCAGTCCACATTCAGTGTTTTTACAGCCACTTTGGCTGATTTCCCACCAAATTCAGCTCTTTTGAAACCACTTAAACTAAACAGAAACACCTCAAAGAAACCAAAACCCACACATTTGCAAAGCATTAAAAGCTGAGTTGTTTTTGGACTGTGCTCTTCAAATCATGCAGTTTTTATATTTGTCCGTCAGGCAGGGCTGATTTTTCCCCCCACTGTTTTCTGCAATAAAAATTCAGCCAAATCTGCACTATGGCTGATTTTTGAGCCGCCAGGAACCATAAAGATAATCAAACATTTTATTTGATTTTATGGAAAGATTGTGTTTTGGTGTATTTTTTAGAATAAAAGCAGTGGAGACAAACAGATCTTTAAAGGCTCAAAATCCCCAAAATACACGAGACATGTGGGGAAAAAAAGCTGAAAACAATTCTTTAAGCAGTATTATGTTGTTCGGGATGAATGTGAAGGCTAAAATAAACATTTTGAACCGCTTTTAGCGGCTAATTTAGATGTTTTTTTCTGTTTTCTTGAGTTGAATGTGCACAAATGTGATTTATGTGATTTATTCTCTTTTAAAAGGTTTGGATGTGTGAAAGAAAAGGAGCAGCCAGTCGGTTTGAGTCTGTTTCTGGAAGTTTCTGTTTCTCCTGGACGTCAAAGGAAAAGCAAAAAAACCTGTACAGACTGTTTTTTAACCAGGACGAACTCCTGCTATTTAAACTGAAATAAACTTTATTTCTGGACTTTCAGGTGGTGTCGCGCCTCCTTCAGGACCTCCTCCTGTCTCAGACTCCATTTGGGATCAGCTGAGCTCCTCTCTGCAGAAATCTAAATGTTTTCTGCTTAACTTCTCTGAAATATGAACCGGGGTTAGTTTCTTCTAGTTTCTTAGTCGAAGGACAAACTAAACGTTGGTCGAAAGTTAAGAGAATTAGCTTCTGGTGGATCTTTTTGTCTTATCGGGTAAATCCAGAGACAGATGGAAAGAATGTTTTTTCCTCTTTATAATGTAGCATCGGGGGATTTGGAGGAGATTTGGCCTTTTTTTTTCAAGCAGACATTAATTTTAATCAGCTGAATTAAGTTTTTTCCATCTTGTTCCATTTCAAAGAGTGGAAAAACAACAACCCAAAAGCCTCTTGACCTTTTCTGCTGCTGACCCCTTTAACTTAAAGAGAGCGGTCAGATTAACAGACAGCCAGAAGCTGAAGCTAAAAAAAATAATAAATAAAGGCCCAACTCATAGTAATGACTTTCTGTCTCATAATAAGGATTTTTTTATTTCAAACTTGTGACTTTGAATCTCATAATAATGACTTTAAAAGTCGAAATTATGACTTTTTGTTGGGCTTTTAATTTTTTTTTTCTTTTAATGGCGGAAATGGGCTTCCATAGGCAGCAGGTGTAAAATATTGAATAGATTTTTTTTTCAAATTGATGTATTGAATAAAAAATCGTGTTGCACGACTAGCCTGGCTTTAACTCTTACGTTCAACTTTACGACGAGCAAATGTTTTCCTCCAGGTGCATTCTGGGTAACTGGCCGGTCGCTAGGCAACACCTTGTAAACAGCGGAGCGCTTTTCACGGAACTAGCTAACGTTAGCACAAAAGTGGAGCGGGAAAGCCAAAAGAAAAGGGGAAAAGGCCGAGTTCCAGAAGCCGGACACCTGTTTTGTTCGTCGTCCTGGAGACAAGGTTTCTTGAATTGATTTCGATTAATAACAATCCTAAATATTATTGAAAAATTCCCATTTTCTGTGTTGTTTTCAGAACAGAAAGATAAATGAGCAGGAGGGGATATTACATTTAGTTTTTATTAATGACAAATACAAAAAGATAATCCAATTCTCAACCATTTTGGCAACTTTGCCATTGCTCTTTTTTTTTTTTAAATGCAAATTTTGACAGCCCTATTCAAAATATAACATTTATTCCTGTCCAGCCGTTTGTTTTTGCACACTTGGTGAAACTCCGTAAGAGCTATGGTCAGAAACAACAAAATCAGCTCTTACAAATAAAGTTTTATCCATTAAAAATTCAAAAGATGCCAAAGTCTGAATTAACGGCAAGGGCACAGAACTCCACATAAAACATATTTATTATAACGTAACTTTCCCCCGCTTTTAGTCAGGTGCTTAATAAATGTATGAGAAAGTCTTTAAAGTTGTGAAATATGTTTTCTATCCTATAGAGACCCGCGTGT